TTTCGCTGCTTGGCAACGACGTTGTGAAACAAGCCAATTCACTTCGTGAACTCGGCAACCAGGTTACCGTTTGTTTTTTTTACCCCTGTCTTTTTTTGCCGGTAACCATAATGGTGGTCGAGTAGATCATGTTGTGCGGGGTCGAGAACCCTCACTCCGCGCAAGGGGGATAATCGCACCACGTTGTGTTAAATTGGTCAAGCACCCTCGAGGCAGCTACACAGCGCTTGTAACTGTCTCTGGAAGTGAAAGCACCAGAAAATAAATTAAGTCATACGCAGCTGTCATCCGTACGCAAGGAAGTAAGCACAAGATGCCGAACACCCTTAGCAGGATGCAGCGCACCCTTCATGCGACTCGCCGAATATCTCACGGCGCTTCGCGCTTGGTGATGTGAGAGCCTGGTCCGGTGAGAACCCGGCGTGCTCCGTCCCGGCTTTGTAGGGATGCGAGGTCAATGGTCTAACGACTACGGCATGCACGACTATGAGTACACCCCCACTACCACTGCTGTAGATGCGTTTTCTCAACATGTTTCAATCGTCTCGGGCAGCTCACTGCCGCCCAATGGACCCCGAATAGCTCGCCCGACACTCCCAGTTAAATGAAGATGCAGTCTAGGTGTGACCGGAACTATAGTGCGATACTCCGTGGTTTTCGGCGGCGGCCGGGGGGGGATGTAGGCATAGTCATGCATGCCGTTGTCGTTAGACCATTGACCTCGCATCCCTACAAAGCCGAGACGGAGCACGCCGGGTTCTCACCGGNTATGAAGGGTGCGCTGCGTCCTGCTAAGGTGTTGGGCATCGTGTGCTTACTTCCTTGCGTACGGATGACAGCTGCGATGCTTTCACTTCCAGAGACAGTTACAAGCGCTACGTAGCTGCCTCGAGGATGCGTGACCATTGTAACACAACGTGGTGCGATCATCCCCCTTGCGCGGTGTGAGGGTTCTCGACCCTGCACAACATGATCTACTCGACCACCATGATGGTTACCGCAAAAATAAACCAGAGGCAGAAAGAAACGGTAGCCTGGTTGCCGAGTTCACGAAGTGAATCGACTTCTTTTCTCAGTACAATCCCTTTTAGGAATAGCGGCACTGCCCTGAATAGCGGCATGTTCTTTCCTTTGCCCCTACGAGCCGCTATGTCGAGCCACCTACTGTAGTAGTCCCTCCGCCCAGCAGGTACCCCGGCGGCGGTTGGCTCACGTCGGGCATGGGGGCTGTAACGGCTGCTGTAACGTTTCGGTGCGGTAATTTTCAATCCGCGCGCTTTTTTGCGTTCGCTTGGGATGCGGTCTGCATCATCCAGTTGTCGGGACACTCATCCAGCCAAGTTGGAAGTATTCAACCACACTACTGTTGGACTCCCGTTGGCGCCCTCTTGTCCTCACACACGCACCCCTCCGATTCGGATCTTGTTGGCCTTTCTCACTCGTCGGCATGCAGTCGTGGGGGGGGCAACAGCAACAGGGGTACCCGGGCGGGCCTGGACCTCCACAAGGGGGACAAGGCTGGGAACAGCAGCAGCAGCACGTGCAACACCAACCATGGAGCGGCATGTACCAGAGCGGGCAGCCGCAGCAACCGCAGCAGTCGCAGCAGTCGCAGCAGCAGCAGCAGCAACAGCAATGGCCCACACAGCAGGTACCCAACAACTTGCTCTTCAGCAAGAGTGCCGAAGTTACGCGTGTGTTTGGACATTCCTCTGTAGGACGGACAACATCCGCCACTCTTTATGTTCTAGGCTTACTCTACGCGAATTTTCTGTTCCGGTTTTACCGCGCTTGACCTGCGGTCCTTCCAGGGGCGTCGTGTCTATGCGCCTTGTTTTACACCGAGTGTTGCTTGGTTGTCGGTGTCTTCGTGGCCGCCGTTGTGCTGCAGCGGTCTTCTCTGCGCTGCGAATAGTAGACGCCAATGACACGTGGTTGTTTTGTTGTTTTGTGCCCGGAGGGGAGATGCTTCTGTCTACCGTTGCCTCCACTCGCCTGCTCCTGCGGTATGCACCTCCGATTGCTGCAGGTCGAACACGGCCTCTTGCGAAGCACTAGCAGTGACCTTGCCCCAAACTACGCCCTGTTCATGCACTGCCCTCGTTCTTTCTTCCGCGTCCCCCCGTGCTCAACCACACGACGGACGTCTCCGCAATTTGACCGGCAACACTTCCAGCAACCCTGGCAACAGCACCAACAGCACCAACAGCACCAACAGCACCACCATCACCATCACCAAAGCCCGTGCCCTCAACCGCCGCCCCCACTACTTCCACCACCTCCACCCCAACCACCCCAACAACAACATCCCCAAAACGCCGGCCTGCAGCCTCCGTTACCGCCAGCCACGCCGCCGAACGCCCCCCCCAGTGGCGGAAGAGCGCCCCCGTCGGGAGGGGCCCCGGGAAACGGAAACCGCCCCCCCCCTCCTCCGCCACCTCCCCCCGACCCCGACTCCGTGGGGCCAGCGGCCGCAGCTACGGCCTCGGCGACGGAGCAAGATCGGCTAAGGGAAGAGCACCACGGGGAGATGCAGGCACTGCGGCGGGAGCACGAGGCCGGGCAGCGGCAGCAGAAGGCCAGGCACGAGGCGGGGCTCTTGCAGGCGCGCCAGCACGTGGCGATGGCGGGGGGAGGCACGCTGGGCGGGGCGGCGGCGGCGGCGGCGGCCCTCCCGCGCCTGCGGGAGCAGCACGGGCGGGAGAGCCAGGGGCTCGCGGATCATCAGCGGCAGCAGCTGCAGGAGCTCCAGAGGAAGCAGCAGCAGGAGCAGAGACAGCTGCTGCTTCAGCGACGGCTCCAGCAGCAGGGGGGGGCGCCGGCATCGCAGCAGCAGCAGCAGCAGCAGCAGCAGCAGCAGCAGCAGCAGCAGCGGCGGCGGCAGATTGGTCAAGTGGACGGTGGGCGACCGGTGTGGGACGGGGCTAGCAGTGTTCCTCAGCCTCCCTTGCCCCCAGCGGACGGCGGCGGTGGCGTTGAAGGTCATCAACAAGATGCGCCTCCGCTCCCGCCGCCGCTCCCGCCACCGCTCCCGCCACCTCTCCCACCACAGCTTCAGCCTCCGCTCCCGCCGCCACAGCAGTCCATGCAACACGACCCCACCCCTCCCCCGCCGCCGTTGCCGGAGCAAGGCAACAGCATTGGCAATGAACAGCGGTCGCCACCGCTCCCGCCAAACCACCCGCCACCCCCTCCGAATCAACAGCATCAGCAATTCATGGGGGCAGGAGGAGGCCAACCCTACCGCCAACAGCAGCAACAGCAATACCCTCAGCAGCTGGGATCCCCTCAAAATAACCCCCCGAGCTTTGCGGGGAACGCGGTGCACCGACAACCCCCAGGGGACTGGCACGGTCAGATACCTGGCAACAATGCCAACGGCAGCAGGTGGGCGCCCCCTCCCCCATTCGGGGGCCCCGCAGAAACCGGCGGCGGCGGTATGGGTGGGGGCCGCCCTCCGCACCCGGGCCTCCCGTCGGCGCTGCCGGTGTCCCCGAGGCCGAGCATGCAACCGCCGTTGCCGTCGCCGCCGGGCGGGGCTGCGACGGCGGCGGCGGCGGCGGCGGGCGGCGTAGTGGCGGCGGCGCCTCCGCCGGGGGAGAGCCAGACCGGCGCCGCCTTGCGGAACTCCCTCATGGCGCGGCTGGCCGCTGCCGGAGTTGGCGTCGGAGGTGGCCCCTCGCAGCAGGTGGGGGCGCGAGGAGGAGAAGCGGGAGGAGGATCGACTTCTTTGCTCGCGAGGCACAGGTATATTTATATTGTTTTTCGCGTGTTTTTTTTGTGTTGTGTGCTTGGTGGTGGGAGTTGCGTGCGGTGCCAGACGTTGTAGTCGCCTCTAGTTGAGTTCCAGAAGCAGTTGTCCGTCCGGTGGGTGTTCTTGTTTTTTGTTTTTTGGGGGAAGGATCCCATGATAGTCGTTTGCCGGACGTGACAGCATTCTGGCGTGCTCTTGTCGGAGTATCGTAGAGAGCCTTTGACGTGACTTGTGGCAAGTTGTCCCTGAAAGTTACGGCGGTAGATGGATAAGGCAAGCATGCTCTGGTCGTACTCGAATGGTTGGCGTACTCTTATGCCTGGCCCTCGGCCTCGGCCGGCGTGCTACGGCGGCCCATACCGGATGCTGCAACACTCACCCCAACGGTACGCTGCACGGAGTATAGTACACGAAACAACCCTCCGTCTTGTCACGATTGGTGCCATACCGCTCGGCGTCACGTTGTCGCTGTGCGTTTTGTGCATGCCAAAACACTTGGGAATTACATGTCATGCCGCCTGTCTATGGTCTAAAGCCCGCGCATCTTGCTTGGCTTCTTACTTCGAAGTGTTTGACATACACCGACCCACTTCTCCGCTTATGAATATCTCATGCCGACGTGTCTACAGCCCCCGCGTGTTGCGTGGCTTCTTGTTGTACGAACGCCCGCTCCCCGCGTCCGCTTGCTACACCAAAGAGTGCGTTACCCCCTTCACCCTCCCGTCCTTCTTCGAGGGACTCGCGCCCGCAAGCATGTCTTTCGCCCCGCAGCAGTCCTACTATATACCACGAAGCCCTATTTTTCACCACTGCTAATGCTGTAGTCCTTTCCTCGCCGTCCCCTTTCCCCGCACCTCTCGCGTCTGGCCGATATGTACCCGCCAACAGCCCGGCATCTAGGATGTTGGCCGGCAACAAGAGCAGTCCACACGGCGTGCCCGCACCAAGCTCTGCGGCGGCGGCGGCGGCGGCAGCGAACGTTCTTCCGAGACCTAGGCAGACGGTGTTCGCCGAGAACGTTTTCGAGTCTCCGGGGCGGCGCTTTCGGCCGGAAAAGATCTGCGTGATTCTGCGGGGCCTCCCAGGGTCCGGGAAGTCGCACGTGGCGCGGCTGCTTAGAGACCTCGAAAACGTGGGGAAAATGTCCATGTACCTATCTACGAGGCGTTTTTGTCTCTCCAGGGGGAGGGGAGGGGGGCGTACTCTTATGTTTTGCATGCCTTAGCGGAGCGGTTAGACCATTGACCACGCGTCCTCGAGAGGACGGAGCATTGTTCCCACAGGACCGATCACCGATGGCCAATCGTTCCTTTCTACTTTGCCAAAGGTGGCTCAAAAATGTCTTCCCTAGTCTTGTCTATCCGAACGATATCCCTTCCCACCTTTTCAGCCCACCTCCTATGCCCCAGTACAGCTACCGTCCTTTCCTCTCTATTCCATGCCTCAAACATCTCCCTGTACGTCCCATCTATTTTCCCCAGCTCAGTCACGTACACTTCCCTCTCCTTCTTGTACCACGGACATTCCGCTACTACATGAACACGGTCTTCGCATTCGGGAGGGGGGGGGGATGTTCGCGCATTTTTTTCGGGCGAGATAATACTATTTACATGAGGTGTTGTTTGTGCATGAGACTTCGGGGTTGGTTTGTTTTTTTCCTCGGCGTTTGTTCAGTGCCGATGACTGAAGTTGCACACGTGTTTGCTAGTTCTTGTCAGGTCTCACTAATGACTTGCGTCTTGCTTTTTTGGCATCTCTCTTTTGTCTTGTCGATTGGCACGCGACACAGGAGGCTGGCGGGCAGAAGCCGCGAGTGCTGAGCATCGACGACTACTACATGACCGAGGTTATGGAGGAGAAGACGGACGAGCGAGGCGTGAAGCGGAAGGTTCCCGTCACCAAGTACCAGCACGACGCCGAGATGGAGGAGGTACTGGCTATGACTGCAGTTTTGTGTAGCAGTGCAATCGTGCAAGCAATCGTGTGTGCAAAGCAAGAACGTGAGATTCCGTTGGGGCACATGGAGCCTAGATGTCAACACCATAGTGAAGACACACGTAGTTCGCACTGCAACACATGTCGTTCCCAAAGCCATCACGTAAACAACACAGTGAACTTGAGCGAAAGAAACGAAGGCGTCTAACGGTACTAAGTTATCGATACCCTCCTGTGTGTGGAATGCACTACGCCCTCCCCAAGTAGAAAAGATACCGTAAATTGAGATAACATTGCAAGAAGCAGGCACACTTTTGTTGTTGCTTTGTTTGTCGCGCTAATTGCTTTATTTTTTCGAAACACCTGACCTTCGATCCCTAGTTTCCGATCATTCAATCATGCGTGTGTTGACAGCTAGCTGTGACGATGGGACGCCCTTCATGTTCGTCTGGTGCTGCCGTCTGCCCTCTAGAAAGCGGTGTCGATGTGTAGCATTTCACGTTTGTCCGGTTGCTCTTTTTTGTCGTTGCTGTCGTAGACGCGACGGCTTTCCACACATGCATGCCGCTCTCGCTGCGTGTACTTAGCACTGCGTCGTTTCCCCCCTGCCGTCTCTATCTCTGTTTCTATCTCTCTCTCTCTCCATCCCCCTCCCCCCCTTTCTGAGACGTATGCGTGCGTGTCCCCGTGTCAACGCTTCGTCTGATGTTAATTGAGCGGCACTCTTGTCTTGTTACCTCCACCTTCTCGCACCCCTCTCCCCCCCTCCCAGCTGTACCAGGCCAGCCTGCTCCGGTCGGTGAAGAAGACGGCGGGGGAAGGTTTGTTCCCGCTCTTCTTCGTGGATAGTCCCCACTACTCTAGGCGTGACCTAGAGGACGTGTGGGGTGCCGCGAAACGGGCCGGTTTCGAGGTCTACGTGGTAGACCTATTTCACGTCGGATTACAGGTGCGCCGGCCAGCAGCGCAGCCTCGTTTTGAGCCCCCCCCCCCCCCCCCCCCCCC